GGAATAACCCAAATGTCTATCAGCTGTTGAATGGGTAAATAAATACAGTTTGTCTGTATAATGGCACATTATCCAGCTAGAAAAAGAAACAAAGTACTGACACAGATTCCAACGTGGATGAACCTTGAAAACATCAGGTAAAGTGAAAGGCGCCATTGCAAAAAGCCACATAGGTGGTTCCATTCACGTAAAGTGTCCGCAGAGCCTACGGAGACAAATTATAGAATGCTGGTTGCCAGGGGCTGGAGGCTCGGGTGGATGGGGAGTGACTACTAAGATACAGGGCTTTTTTGGAGGTGATGAAAATTTTCTGGAATTAGTGATGTGCACGATTTTGAGACTGCTAAAAACTCTGAATTAAATACTTTAAAAATTAAAAAAAAAAAATTTACCAGCTGGATTCAGAGGCAGCCAGCTTGAAGGATGAATTTCTTGAAATCTCTTACCTCCCAGAGCTTTTGTCTCCATGTGACTCACCATTTCAGAAGAACCCATGGTTTTCATTCTTAGTTTTTTCCTGCAAGAGGTGATGTTTCCTGTTTGCCCCAAAGCACCAGCAGTGATGGTGCCCGCGACCTGCTCTAGGGAAGGCCGAAGTGATGCCCTGTAGCTGCAGGCTGCTGTGTTTTATTCAGAAGAGCATCACCGAGGGTCCCAGGTTTTACTTAACCTGGTAAACAGGTTCTCAAATGTCCTCTCAGTCTTGAGCTGCAAAGTGACCATGTCCAAGAAATACCTTGAGTCATCAAATACAGGACATTATAGGAGGTTTCTCGACTGAAACTGGCCAGCTCAGTGGTGTTCTAGAGCACTTTTTTTTTTAATTTTCACACATATTTTTGGGCTCACTGTGGCACAGCAGGAGCACTTCCCAAAGCCACAGATCTCTCTCCATGAACACTTCCCCTTCTCCCTCCACACTGCATTATACGCACACGTTCGCACATGTACACGCACAGCAGAATGAGCTAGCAGGGCCCTCTTGGTAAGAAGAGAGGCGTACACTGAAATGCCGGTTTTCAGAACCTCAGCGTTTAGTACAGGATCTTCAGTGCTAACTGGAGACTGAAGACAGTGTCATCTTTGGACCGAAATGTGTTGTGCTGTTGCTGTCACCAGCCAGTCCTGGCTCTTTGGGAAACTGACAGGATGCTGGTTTGGGATCTCAGTGCCCATGTCCAGGACCCGAGCGCACCCTGGATGCAAATGCAGCAATGCTTGGGTCTGTGGGCATCTGAGCGTCTCTGCTCACCAGCCAAAGATGCCCGGTCTCTGCTGTCCCCAGGGAAGATGCGCTCCTAGCAGCCACCAGAGGCCACTGCGGATCAGAGAGACCACTGCTCAGTAGATTTTCCTGACCACGGACACAGTCTTGCTGAGAACCCTGGAACTGCAAGGTTCTTGGGACCAGAACCAACTGGGGTGCTTTTCTCATTCTCCTGCTGTGAAAGCTCTGGATGGGACCTTGATTCTCACGATGCCACAGGGGGTTTGCTTTATAGAAAATCAGTGACATTTGCTTTCAGCCGCGCCACTGGCTACATGCCCCTTCCCTCACAGTCTCATTCTGGAGGATATTTTGCCATCTCTTTCTCCTTCCCTAAGTGAAGCCTGGAAAAATGAGGGCAGGGGCCAGGACGCTGCCTCAGGCTCGGTGGTCTCTGTCCTCCTCCTCCAGACCCCGCGCCTGAGGTCTTCCAATCACCTTTGCCTGCAGTTTCAGACCTGTTTACAAACCTAACACGTGGCTGGAGGGACCAATACATTGGAGTGTGCAGATTTTCTTCTGCAATGTTTGTCCTGATGGTCCAAAGTGAAGTGCGAACACTGGCAGACCCTGAGCCTTACTACTTCTTTAGGCCTTGAAAAAAAATCTGCCGCAACGTTTGGTCTCCTTTTGGGGTGGGTCTGCGGGTTGTGTCTGCTGGAGGCTGCCCTTTACGAAGATCCTAGTCTCAAAGCGCTTAACCTTTTGTACTTAATTGTCATGACATGCCACTAAATGCAAAATGTGAATTCCTCAGTTTTGTTCTACTTGGTGGCTTTCTGTGGTACCCCCTGTCTGTGCCAGTTGGTGAATCATGTGCCCAATAATGAGATGCCTGCATCATTAGCTGCTTTATAAAAGGTGCACTGAATAAACATGTTTTTTTCATACACGGCTTTGTCCTTCTTTTGCCTCCTGGGAACAGTGTCCGTTTCAGGTGGCTTGTGGACTTGAATTCCCTTGTGGGGCTTCCCTTGAATACCCTAATCTGCCTGATGATGACAGAGGTGCATCGGGGCTGTGTGGGGTGGGAGGAGGGGCCCTGGTCCATTCTCTTCAGTCACAGGTATTCTGATTGCTCAGAGTTCTGTCAGAAGATGCTCTAAGACCCACCAGCAAAACCTCTTGTATGATGTAGCCACACGCACTGCGTCGCAGTCTAACTCAGCACAATGGGATTCTAGATCATTACCTTGAAGGGACCCTAACGCATATTTCTTCAAGTGGGATAAGGGGGTCACCTGCAGAATCACAAATAGGTTTATGTCCCTTCCTGAGCTCCACTACTGAATCACCCTTTGAAGCTTGGACCCCAAACCTGCAACTTAAACAGGAGACCCTTCTGAGCCAGATGTAGCGAATGAGAGAGCATGGAACCCCACCTTCCCCACCTGACCACTCTCATCGCCCCCCCGCCCCCTGTGGTGTGCTGTCTCGTGGGCTGCTTGGGGGAGGTGGTCCCAGAAGAAAGAAGCCCTCAGACAGACATGCATCTAGATGTGTGTCCTCTCTCCAGCCCCATGAACTTCATGGGTGATCAAGCCCCTGCCGCAGCCTGGCCCTTAGAGGAGAACGAGCTTGAAAAATTGGAGTCAGGGTCAAGCCAGGTTATAGCCAGTGCCAGGAGGGCATAACCCAACCCACAATTCCAAATCTGAAATGGGAGGCCTAATGACGTGAGAGATGTTTGAGGGGCAGGCCCTTCGAGGGGGTGTAATTTTGGCTTTAATTCTTTCAGCAGGAGGAGCCTGGCCTCGCTGAGTCCACTTGAGAACATGCAGGGCCGTTGGTAGATCAGAGAGCAGCGGGCTGGAACCACAGCATCAGTGTGGCTAGCTGTGCACCTTTTGGCAAGTCTGCTGACCTCTCTGGGCGATAACTTTCTTGTTTGCAAGAAGTAAGGGATGAATGATGAGTGTTTAGCAGTAAAGTATACCGGTATCTGCAGCTTATTTAAAAAGGCATAAAGATGAGATGGGTGGATGATAGATGGATAGAGATGCGACAAAGCAGGAGCAGTGAATGGGAGTTGTCGAGCCTAGGTGGTGGGTAGATAGGGGTCCACAGCAAATCTTTTCAACATTCCTCTGTGTTTGGAAATTTCATATTAAGATACTTGAAAAAACAGAAACAGGTAAAAAGTTAGAGCTGACATGGACATTAGAGATCATCTCAAGGATGATAAAATTGAGGCCAAAGAAGGCAACTAGGAGGAGAAGCAGGAACAAAACTGAGGCTGCCTGCACTGTCTTTGGGGATTGGGGGACATTAGTCTAAACAGGTTTCATTACTGCGGGACTTGTCAGAGCTTTTAATGTACTAATGTCTGTTGAAAATCTCTTGAGAGAAATATATGGCACTTTCCAAACAAATTTAGGTACAAAAGCTACCCCCTTTCCTTTTTCTTAGGGCTAAGTTCTGGATGACACACTTGGGAAAAGCATCCCTAGAGAATGTAAGATTTTTGTTTGGTTTGTTTGTTTTTCTGGTGGAGGTTGGTGGGCAAGAGGGGGGCATGCCCTTTCCGTTGCTTTTAATTTCCATGGTGAGGCCGCACAGGCACAAATTGGACCTTCTGCCCTCACCACATCTCTTGGGGCTGAGGGTGTACACGCCAAGAGGCGATGTCAGGGTCTCGGTGTCTGAGCCGAAGGGGAGGTTCTGAGGGTTTTGAACCCAGGCCCTCCCTCAGTGGTGCCCAGGGAGTTGTCACCTGCCCCTTCCAGCCCAGGGGCCATTTTCTTCTATTAGTGACCGCTGCTGGCCCAGGGGCAAGAGAAGTCGGTGGGAGATAATCTCCCAAGGAACACGGAGGGAGCAGGTGCCCAGCAAACAAGAATCCCAACAGAAACCGAAGTCTGGTTCTTGCATTTGGCCGAGAGGAGGGCCAGCCGACTTGCCCCTCCTGTTTCTCAGGGCAGCAAAGTATCTTTTTTGGAGCTGATCAGGATGCACACCCATCTTCTGGACACACACAGAACACATCACTCGCCACATGCAGCGGAAACCCTTTATTGAAGCCACCCTCCTAATGCCAACAGTCACTGGTGGTTTTCCCGGGTGGGGTGCGTCCCGGGTGGGAACTGAGTGCTGGTTTATGCTGTTACAGTACAAGTGAATGCAAAGATTTGCAGTAGCTGCCTCTTAGCAAATGA